CAAGCCTGCCTCCAAGTACATGAATTGTTTCTTATCACCTCTGTTGACACTGCTGGCCAAGAATGGAGCCTTCTTCGCTGGCTCCATCCTGGCTGTGCTTATTGCCCTCACCATCTACGACGAAGATGTGTTGGCTGTGGAACATGTCCTCACCACCGTCACACTCCTGGGGGTCACTGTGACCGTGTGCAGGTAGGCCAAGGCAGCAGATGGGAGCAAGCAGACTAGCATTCCTGGGAAAAGCTTCCATCTCACCATGATCCTGATCCCACTAGGTCCTTTATCCCAGACCAGCATATGGTGTTCTGCCCTGAGCAGCTGCTCCGCGTGATCCTCGCTCATATCCACTACATGCCTGACCACTGGCAGGGTAATGCCCACCGCTCGCAGACCCGGGACGAGTTTGCCCAGCTCTTCCAGTACAAGGCAGTGAGTGGAGTTGGAGTTAGGGCCTGCTAGAGACTGGCTGGTAGCTCGGTGGTGAGGGCTGGTCTCCCTCCTGCTCTTTTGTGACCTTGGTCCCCTCCCTTTTAGGTATTCATCTTGGAGGAGTTGCTGAGCCCCATTGTCACACCACTTATCCTCATCTTCTGCCTGCGCCCACGGGCCCTGGAGATTATAGACTTCTTCCGCAATTTTACTGTGGAGGTTGTTGGAGTTGGAGATACCTGCTCCTTTGCTCAAATGGATGTTCGCCAGCATGGTCATCCCCAGGTACTGGCAGAGGGGCAGGGCAAGTGGCCAGGGATAATGCTGGCACATACAGTGTCTTTGGGTAAACTGCAAAAAGGCATCCCTTCTTAGCCAACAAGTCACAAAACAAGTCACAGTCTTGTACCAGAGATACACTGCTTGGGAGCCTGAGCTGGATTTCAGCTTTAATTTGTACACTTGGCTAAGCTTCCTTGAGAAAGGCAACTGGCCAGCATGTGGCCACTCCTGGAGTAGGCACTGGGGCCCCTGGACAAGATACAACAAGTCTCTGTCCTCTAGGGGCAAGGCCTCCCCTATAACATGAAAGGTATAGGAAAGGTTCCTGTAAGAGGACAGTCCTGTTTACTGTGGTCTCCCTTTTGCAGTGGCTATCCGGTGGGCAGACAGAGGCCTCAGTGTACCAGCAAGCTGAGGATGGGAAGACAGAGTTGTCACTCATGCACTTTGCCATCACCAACCCTGGCTGGCAGCCACCTCGTGAGAGCACAGCCTTCCTAGGCTTCCTCAAGGAACAGGTTCAGCGGGATGGAGCAGCTGCTGGCCTTGCCCAAGGGGGTTTGCTCCCTGAAAATGCCCTCTTTACATCCATCCAGTCCTTACAGTCTGAGTCTGAGGTGTGTTCCCGGGGACTGGGACATGATGGGCAGGAGCTGGGAGTTGAGGATGGGCATGGGGTGGAAGGTTTTCCTTCTGTCTTTTCAGTATGTGCCATTGGGTCCTAAGATTGAGAATACTAAGGGACCTGGAGGCCAGTCTCCTGCCCTGATAATTTTACCCACCCCTTTCTTTCATAGCCACTGAGCCTTATTGCAAATGTGGTAGCGGGCTCATCCTGCCGGGGCCCCCCACTGCCCAGAGACCTGCAGGGCTCCAGGCACAGGGCTGAAGTTGCCTCTGCCCTGCGCTCCTTCTCCCCTCTGCAGCCTGGGCAGGCACCCCCAGGCCGGGCTCCCAGCACCATGACAGGCTCTGGGTGAGTAAAGGTGGGCCAAGATGGGAGGGCATGACAGTAGCCTCCAGCAACTTGTATGGGTCTCAGAAATGTTGACACCTACTGTCTGTCTGTGCTGGGAGGGACAGGGTGGATGCCAGGACAGCCAGCTCCGGGAGCAGTGTGTGGGAAGGACAGCTGCAGAGCCTGGTGCTGTCGGAATACGCATCCACCGAGATGAGCCTGCACGCTCTCTATATGCATCAGGTGAGTAGGCAGCTAACAAATAGGTCAGATGCAGAGAACCAAGTCCAGGGTTCCAGTCACTTCTCTGCCATCTCCATTTTCATATATGTCTTCTTAATATCCTTTTTAGCCAAGCGTATCCCAGGCTTTCACACATGTGTAGTTTCCTCTGCCTAGAATCCACTTCCCTGAGATATGCAGATGGCTCCTTCCTTTTTTGGGTCTCTGTAATTACCTTTTCCCTGAGACTTTCTCTGACCACTCTCAGTAAAAGCTTCCATTGCCCCTCCTCCCGATTCTTTGTGTTCCATTTTTCCCCATAGCATTTAGCACCATCTGACATTGTTCTTTTTAAAAATGTATTTGTTTAATAAACACCCCTACCAGCATATAAGCCCCACAAGAGCTGGCATTTTTGTCTGTTTTGTTTACTGCTGTATCCCCAGCACCTAAAAGAGTGCCTGGCACTTACACGCTCAATCAGTTTGTTCTTAAATCAAATGAATAGGTAAAATGAGAGCCATTACAACCTATGAAGCACAGGCTATTTCCAGGGATCGGCTGAGAATGTAACCTATAAAGCATGAGATATATGTTACGCACATTTTAACACGACAGGTGCTCTGGGTCAAGGATTCTAGGTGAGGGGGTATAAGTGGGAACTGGCTGATATCATGGTGGAGGGCAGCTGTTTCAGACAGATATCTTTCTGTCCCTCACTAACAACTCCTCCTACTTCTCCAGCTCCACAAGCAGCAGGCCCAGGCTGAGCCTGAGCGGCATGTGTGGCACCGCCGGGAGAGTGATGAGAGTGGGGAGAGTGCCCCTGAAGAGGGGGCAGAGGGTGCCCGGGCCCCCCAACCTATACCCCGCTCTGCCAGCTATCCCTGTGCAGCACCCCGACCTGGAGCTCCTGAGACCACCGCCCTGCACGGGGGCTTCCAGAGGCGCTATGGGGGTATTACAGGTATCCAGTGGGGGCACAGGAGGAAATAGAGCCTGCAGGGAAGGGCGGTTCTTCTGGGGCCTCTGTAGGGGAGGAAAGAGGTCAGAGGAACCGGGCCCAAAGACTAACACCTGAGCATCCCCCAACTCTTTTCCTCATGGCTATTTGTGTTCCTTCTAAGAGTATTCTTACTTGTCTCTCTAGATCCTGGCACAGTGCCCCGGGCTCCCTCTCACTTCTCTCGGCTGCCTCTTGGAGGGTGGGCTGAAGATGGGCAGTCAGCATCAAGGCACCCTGAGCCCGTGCCCGAGGAGGGCTCAGAGGACGAGCTTCCCCCTCAGGTGCACAAGGTAAGGGCTCCGGGGCTCTTCTGGATAAGAATAACTGCTGGAAATAGAAACTTCCAGACTGAGGTAACAGCTTTTCATGTGAAGGAAGGTATGCCCTCTCCCCGACACTGCCCGTAGCACAGAGATACTGCACCCTCCCCTCCAAAATACACTCCACCTGCAGAGACAGTTTATGATGGAAAAAAAAGCCAAAATTTTCTTTCTTTCTTCAACTGACTTTCTTCCCTTCAACTGCCTTTCTTCCCTCAACTGCTCTGAAGTCCACGGCTTGATTTTTCCTTCACTTACCTCTCCCCAAGAATCAAGATTTCCTTTCCCTTTATTTCCAGGCTTCTGTGGGCAAGCAGATAGCTGAAGACTATCTCCATTACCAACCATTTTTCCTCCACAGGTATAGACAAGGCTGAGGAGGGTCCCTATGCCCCAGGATGGAGGCCACTGCTGCCCTGCCATCCCATATGCCTGCCATAGGAGGGCTCCTCTGAGTGTTGCCTGGCTCCACGTGTGTGGCGTTTGTGTGTCCGTGCCTGGCCAACGGAGGTGCCAACAGTGGGCTTGCCACAGCCCCAGGAGAGGAATTTGGGGCCTAGGAACCAGGGGCACACAGGATTTTAGCCTCATCCCCAGGACCCCCTTGGCTCAGAGTGTGGTGCTAGAAACTGGTCCCCAGCCCAGCCCCAGTACTGCCACCTTTGCACCCATCCCTGCAAGTCTCCAGAGGGCTGCCCACTGCAGAAGCTGCCAAGCAGGGAGAACCTGTGCCAACTGTGGAATGGGGAGATTGGGCCTAGACCCTCAACTCCTGCAGTCTACCCCCCACCCTAAATAGACAACGAGCAGCTCAGGCTGTGGCCCTTACCTCACCCCCAGTTCTCGCCCAGTTCTGCAGCCAGCTCACCTCTTCCTGCACATCACTGGCATGTGTGTGCTGCTTGCTCCCATTCTGTTTCCTTGCTCCCCCCTTCCGTTTGGCTTTTGCTTTACGTTGGGGTGGAGGCCTTCGCTCCCAGCTCCCTCTTTTGACACTAAGAAAGAAGGTCATCCTGCAAGAGCAGAATGGAAAGTCTTTGCTGCCCTCTTCAACTTTTAGGATGGGCCCCAGGAAGACAGGCTTTCCTGGGCCCCCATTGCTGCTTACTGTACCCCTCAACACCTGCACATGGGACGGACAGGGCTGGAGTGACCTCTGCTGTCTGCATCCCAGCAAGAGCGCTGTAGCCCGTACCTAGCATCTCGCTGTTCCCTGGAGGGCTATGGAAGGGCCATGGGCGTGCCCTAGGCTTTGTGCTGCCGCAATGCATGCTGGGACTCGGCTCCTACTCTGCCCCACCCGTCACCCGACTCCAGTCCGCTTTGGGAGAGTGAACTACGCTGCCCCAACTCACAGCGGAGCTGGGTGGGGACTGTGTACAGCTTGATAACCCTCAATAAAGAAGGGACTTTGACCAGGTCGCGGCTTCTTGACTCGCGCGGCTAGGATCCTGGGAACAAGAGGAGTGATTCCCCAGGTGCCTGGGGACGACTGGGTAGGGATCTGGAAGAAAATAGGTCTATTTTTGTCGCTCGGCTATAACGTGTTAGCTGGCTGACGGAAGGGCCATTTCCGACACACCGTTCGGTGGAGGTCAAGGTCTCCAGCCCAACGCGCTGTCAGATTTCCCGCCCTGGCCACGTGACCAAGCCGGCTCTGCCCCTCTAATTTGCCCTCTTCGCGTGCACCATTGCCCCGCCCCTTCGGAGACATCTGACCAATGGACACCCTGGTTAGGGGGTGGGGGCGGTCTAGTGGGCGGGGCTGCAGCCGGAGAGAGAGGCGCTGATCCGCGCCGTGCATTCCTGTGGGCCTGGAGTTGGCAAGAGGGTCCCCAGCTGCTATCCGGGAGGGACGGGCGGAGACGGCGTACGTGCTCTGCGTGAGTGCGTGGCGGTGCGCGTGCGCGAGGCGAGTGGGCGGTGAGGCCGGGTCCACGTGCGTCCCACCCGCGACCCCCGCGGGTTAGCGCCCAGCGGCTCCATGACCCTAGACAGCCCGGCACCCGCACCCCTCCCCGAGCTGCCCGTCCGATTCTCCGGTCCCACAGTGCCCGCAGCCTCGGCCGGCGTCCACGCATTGCCATGGTGACTGTGGGCAACTACTGCGAGGCCGAAGGGCCGGTGGGTCCGGCCTGGACGCAGCATGGCCTGAGTCCCTGCTTCTTCTTCACGCTGGTGCCCTCTGCGCTGATGGCCGTAGGGGCTCTGGCCTTGGTGCTGGCTCTTCTCTGCAAGCGTCGGGAGCAGCTCGCCGATCCGCTGCCTTTGGGGGCCGGCCCTCGTGTGGCTCCCTACGTGCTGCAGCTGCTTTTGGCCGCACTTCAGGTGTTGCTGCCCCTAGCCGGGCTGGCTGGCCGGATGGGCACTGCCCAGGGGGCCCGGCTGCCAAGCTACCTACTGCTGGCCTCCATACTGGAGAGTCTGGCCAGCGCCTGTGGTCTGTGGCTGCTCGTGGTGGAACGGAGCCAGGCACGGCAGAGACTGGCAATGGGCATCTGGATCAAGTTGAGGCACAGCCCGGGTCTCCTGCTCCTCTGGACTGTGGCGTTTGCAGCCGAGAACTTGGCTCTGGTGTCTTGGAACAGCCCGCAGTGGTGGTGGGCAAGGGCAGACTTGGGCCAGCAGGTGAGGGACCTTGTGGGGAGAGGGGAAGCATTTGATGGCAGGGATGGGAAGAAGTACTGCACGTCTGGTTATACTGGCTCCATGCTTTGGGATACCTCTAAGAAAAAGAAAGGGAGAAGTCAATGCAGGCTGGGAGCTGATAGCCAGCTGGTGGGGTGTGTCTGTGCTGAGTCACTGTGGGTTTTTTTTTGTGTGTGTGGTGTTTTTTTTAAGGCTTTAAGTGCTCAAAGGCTCCTCCTCCTGAGGAGCTGGGTGTGTTCCCTACACCAGTCCCCAGCCCTGTTATTAGTAGTAATACAATGGATTTTGGCCCTTGGTGATACTCTCTTGGTCCCCCATTGCTGCTTATTGTATCCCTATATATGTTTCATTCTAGGTTCAGTTTAGCCTGTGGGTGCTGCGATATGTCGTCTCTGGAGGGCTATTTGTCCTGGGTCTGTGGGCCCCTGGGCTTCGTCCCCAGTCCTACACCTTGCAGGTTTATGAAGAGGACCGAGATGCAGAAAGGAGCCCGGTATACCTCACTTTCTGAATCCTGGGTCTATCTTAGTTTCATTCCCTGTCATCATTCCTTCCCCCTATGATGAATTACTACTTTTCCAAATCTTAGTTTGTGACATATTAACTTTTCTGACACCATCAGGGATCACTTTTGTATGGGTCTAAGATACCTTGGAACTGTAACCCAATACTTTTCCCTAGAGGGTTTCTGGCTAGTGTGCTTTTTGATTTCTGAGCTCCCCTCCCCTGTGTGTTTCACCATCCTAGGTTCACTCAACAGACCAAGGGTCTACCTGGCGAGACCTTGGCAGGAAGCTCCGCCTACTGAGTGGCTACCTGTGGCCTCGGGGAAATCCAGCTCTGCAGCTGGTTGTGCTGATCTGCCTGGGGCTCATGGGGTCGGAACGGGCACTCAACGTGTTGGTGCCCATCTTCTACAGGGACATTGGTGAGGGGAAGAAGGAGTGCCAGCTCAGTATATGCAGGTCCTTCAATGGGCTGGTGCTGTGGTCCCCAACCCTTGGGCTGCAGATTGGTAACAGTCTGGCTTGTTAGGAACTGGGCCGCACAGCAGGAGGTGAGCGGTGGGTGAGCAAGCTTCATCTGCATTTATAGCTGCTCCCTATCCCCTCCCCCCCCCAGCTGTGGAATAATTGTCTTTCATGAAATCAGTCCATTGGGGACCGCTGGCATGGTGTCTGGGGTGGTCCTTACCTGAGGAGGTGGGACAGAGTTGGGAACTGGGTGATCAGAAAGAGTCTGGGGCAGTTTTGCCTGAAGACAGTCCTGGGTGCTGTAAGTCGGCTCTGACTCATTTTCTCTACAGTGAACTTACTGACCCAGAAGGCACCTTGGAGCTCCCTGGCCTGGACTGTTACCATCTATGTCTTTCTCAAGTTCCTCCAGGGAGGTGGCACTGGCAGCACAGGTATGAGAGACTCTGCACTGACCCTGCTTGGTGTCGGCTCCTCCCACAGGCATCCCCTACCATCAGGCCTCTTGGAGCATTCCTCTCCCAGGCCCCTTTGTGCTCTCAGGTAGTTCACAGCTTGGTGCTGGGCTGATGTCCCTCAGCCCTCAAGCCCTACTGAGGCCTCCCCTGGCTTCCCCCAGGCTTCGTGAGCAACCTGCGAACATTCCTGTGGATCCGGGTGCAGCAGTTCACGTCGCGGCGGGTGGAGCTGCGCCTCTTCTCCCACCTGCACGAGCTCTCACTGCGCTGGCACCTGGGGCGCCGCACAGGGGAGGTGCTTCGGATCGTGGACCGGGGCACATCCAGTGTCACAGGGCTGCTAAGGTGCCACCCCATGGGAAAGGCCCTTGGGAGGGTGGGGCTGGAGAGTCAGGGATGGCAGGAGGAGAATAGACCGATCCTGAGGAGCTGCCCCTCCAACACTGGTGTTTTTCTAATTATGGGATTATCGTACACATGCCCTCACAATGAACCAAATAACACAGAGAGCAAATCTCTTTTGAACTTCACTCACTTCTCCAGACCTTCCCACTCTGTTTAGTATGTTGAGTTCTACTTTTTTGTATGTTTGCATGTATACTATATGTGTGGTATTGAGGTTTTTCCTAAAACAGATGGTATAATGACATGGGCATCATTCTCAGTATTGCTTTATTAACAAAACAATATGGAGATATATTTTCACCCATGCATGAAGATCTCCTCATTCCTTATAATCAATACAGAGAACTCTGTAGTTGGGCATGCTACGGTTGATTTAGTTATCCCCCTCTTAAGGGTAGAATTAGTTTAGATTGGTTCTAGTCTGTTGTTGAAAACAAAACACTACACTGAAACTTGTAGAGCAGGCGTCCTCAAACTATGGCCCATGGGCCACATGTGGCCCACCAAGGACATTTAGCAGCTGACTTGTCCTGGGCCCATAGTGCACATGTGTGGAATGTATACCACACTCTCCAATGGCCCTCCAACGTTCTGAGGGACAGTGAACTGGCCCCCCGTTTAAAAAGTTGAGGACCCCTGTCCTAGAGCCAAGGTTGCTGGGTCTGAGCCCCTGAACCTTTCTGTCGCTTAACTCCGTAGCTACCTGGTGTTCAACATCATCCCCACTTTGGCCGACATCATCATTGGCATCATCTACTTCAGCATGTTCTTCAATGCCTGGTTTGGCCTCATTGTGTTCCTGTGCATGAGTCTTTACCTCTGTGAGTAACATCACTGGGTGATGCCAGCTCCCTGAACTGTCATCCCTTGGGCAAGAACTCTGCTCCTAATCAGGTGACCCACTTTTGGAAAGCTATAGGTCGGTGCACTTGAATGGGCTCCTACTGCTCCTGATGTGATGGTGGGTCTCTTCCTCTGTCAAGTTGAATTTTAACCTAGGTGGAGGGCTGGGGAAGGGCATCTTTGTCACATTAGGTCCCCACTGTGGATGCAGGTCAAGGAGGAACCTCATTTATGTGACAAGATGTAGCTTGTCCTCATGTGTTCACCAAAAGCATTTTCTGCCCATGAGGCTTTGTGCAGGCTGCAAAGATGTCATGGATGCAGCTCCTTCCCTTAGCAAGCTCAAGGCTCTCTCCCTTGGAATCTGGGTCCCTGGGCTCTAGTGTAGGTTCACTGTATGCCTGGCAGGTAGTGGACATTTCACATTTGGTTTCTGCTGTTGGGATGATGTCCTCTTCTCCCTTACCCTCCTCCTGTCACTCTCCAGTCCTGACCATTGTGGTCACTGAGTGGAGAGCCAAGTTTCGCCGGGCTATGAACACACAGGAGAACGCTACCCGGGCACGAGCCGTGGACTCTCTGCTAAACTTCGAGACGGTAACAGGCCCTGGTGGTGGTGGTATGAGGCATGGAGATGTAGAGGAGTGTGGCTGGGACCCCTGGGGCTAAGGAGAAGCTGGGGCATGTGATATATGTGTGTGGTGTTTGAAATCAGGAAGGAGGGATTGGGGATCTGGAGGGAGTGATCTGAGTGCCACGTGTGGTGCCCATACCCAACAGTGGTTTTGAATTCATCAGGTGAAGTATTACAATGCTGAGGGTTATGAAGTGGAACGCTATCGAGAGGCTATCATCAAATATCAGGTGAGGATGCTAGTTTGAGGGCTCCTGAGAGCACTGAGCTGGCTGGGGGGAGTTGCCAGGGCCAGGAGCAGAATTCGGGTGGTGAGGTTGAAGGTGCCTGCCAAGGTGTGGGTGTGGTGGTGGTCAGTATGTATGGGACATTCCTCTCTCCTGTGTTACTGCCCTCAGGGTTTGGAGTGGAAGTCAAGCGCTTCACTGGTTGTACTAAATCAGACTCAGAACTTAGTGATTGGACTCGGGCTCCTCTCTGGCTCCCTGCTTTGTGCATACTTTGTCACTGAGCAGAAGCTACAGGTGAGGCAGGATCATGAACAAGAGAGTGGGGGACAGGGAAGAGGGGCCTGTGGCCTATGTTTGAGCCATCAGGCTCTTGGGTGGGAAGTGGGCAGGGTGACAGGAAGAGTAGCCTACAGGCTCCCTATGATGTGGTCATCTTCCCTGGATTTCCACAGGTCGGAGACTTTGTGCTCTTTGGCACCTACATCATCCAGCTGTACATGCCCCTCAACTGGTTTGGCACCTACTACAGGTAACCTGACCCCTGGCTCTCACCTGTTGGGGGTGCATTGCTATTTCATGGCTACTCAGAGGAGCCCCAACCAGCACCCTTCTTACAGGATGATCCAGACCAACTTCATTGACATGGAGAACATGTTTGACCTGCTGAAAGAGGAGACAGAAGTGAGTGAAGAGAGAGGAGTGGGGTCTAGGGGCAGGGAGCTGTGGGTATTTCTTGTGCCTGGAGAATGCTAGGCCAATAATGGCAACACACATGGGTGGCACTCTTCTAGGTGAAGGACCTTCCTGGAGCAGGGCCCCTTCACTTTCAGAAGGGCCAGATTGAGTTTGAAAATGTGCACTTCAGTTACACCGATGGGTGAGCCTTCCCCCTTTGCCTTCTTTCCTCTCCTGTGATCTGTTTGCATACTGCCCTTCTGCCCCTCATCTGCTGAGTCCCTGCTCCTTAGCCCACCAAGCCTAGGACAAGAGCTTGGGCAGGGGAGGGGCAGGGCCCCATAGCAGCTCTGGTGATGTAAGGGGCCTGCTGACTATGCCATGCTTCCTTGCAGACGGGAGACCCTGCAGGATGTGTCCTTCACTGTGATGCCTGGTCAGACGCTGGCCCTGGTGAGAAGAGACCTAGCCACTTGGCTCAGGTTCCTCAAGCTTCCCTCATTCAGTGCCCATGGTGGCTCTTGATCCAGGGCTGTGGAGTCAGAGAGCCTTGTCATCATGGGCAACAGGACTGAATGTTGCAGTTTCCGTGGACATTGGTGGCCTCTTGGAAAGGGAGCCTTAAAAGCCAGTGGGCCTGAGAACATCCCTTTCTGTTTCATGCAACAGGTGGGCCCATCTGGGGCAGGGAAGAGCACAATTTTACGCCTGCTATTTCGCTTCTATGACATCAACTCGGGCTGTATCCGAATAGATGGGCAGGACATTTCACAGGTAAGGTTGCTTGGGAGAAGATTGTTATTTAGGGGTCTGTATGTAGAAGAACGGTAAGGGCTGGGTGTCCAGAGAGAGTAGAAGAACATGTCAACCCTGCAAAAAGCTGGGGCCTTTCTAGTACCATATAACCTATAGTCACACAAATAAAGCAGTCGTGTGAATGATTTGTATGGTGCTGTACAAAGTACAAAGATCTTCTGCAGCAATCTGGTGAAGCAGGTAGAGAAAGCACATATATCTTTTCTATAGATGGAGAAACAGAGAGGTTGAGTCGTTTGCCCACACATTAGGATTTGGGGTGGTGATGGTGGGATTCTTACCCAGGGTCTCTTATCCCATGGGCTTCCTGCCAGCCCATCCTCCCAGGCCTGGGGGGCATATTTTACAGGGCAAGGTGTGTGGTCTTTCCACCCCAGGTGACCCAGATCTCTCTCCGGTCTCATATCGGAGTCGTGCCCCAGGACACCGTCCTCTTCAATGACACCATCGCCAACAATATTCGCTACGGCCGTGTCACAGCTGGGAACCATGAGGTCGAGGCTGCTGCTCAAGCTGCAGGCATCCATGACACCATTATGGCTTTCCCTGAAGGTGAGGTTCCTCTGCAGAGTCCCCTCCCCTGTCCAGTATCGTCCTGTTAATCCCTCTGACCCCTGTTCCATCCCTTCCTTGTCCATCTATCTGGTCACAGAAACCATGTCTCTGGTGTGTGACTTGAGGGCGGTGGGCAATACCCACAGGGTACGAGACGCAGGTGGGCGAGCGGGGACTGAAGCTGAGTGGCGGGGAGAAACAGCGTGTCGCCATCGCCCGCACCATTCTCAAGGCTCCGGACATTATTCTGCTGGATGAAGTGAGTCCAGGGCAATGTTCTCCCCTCCTTCCTCCTGTGCGTGCCCAAGCCATTCCTGCTGGGCACTATTTCCCCCCAGGACAGATACCACAAATCCATGTTTCGCAGAACAGCTTGACAGTTCTTAAGCCCAATTCTTGTGTATTCCTGAGGCCTCAGCTAGTAGCCTGCATCCTCCTTCGGTTGGGGGTTTTGAGTGGCAGAAGCAGTTTTACCCAGACCCTCTCTGTAGGCAACATCAGCGCTGGATACATCTAATGAGAGGGCCATCCAGGCTTCTCTGGCCAAAGTCTGCGCCAACCGCACCACCATCATAGTTGCACACAGGTACAGGACTACAGGCCCGGGGCAGCTGGCAGCATGGGCTCACTTTGGTGGGGTAGTACATAACCGATCTCACCTTTCAGGCTCTCAACTGTGGTCCACGCTGACCAGATCCTCGTCATCAAGGACGGCTGCATTGTGGAGAGAGGACAGTAAGAGACAGGCGGGATGAGTGGGGCCAGGGCTTCTGGAGAGATCTCTCCTTCCCCTCCCCTCTATGCTCTCTGTGGGCTGGAGGCAAGGACCCTTGGAGTAAAAGTGATGGTTGGAGCTTATACTTTCCTCCTTGCCCCAGGCACGAGGCTCTGTTGTCCCGAGGAGGGGTGTATGCTGACATGTGGCAGCTGCAGCAACGGGGACAGGAAGGAGTCTCTGAAGACACTAAGCCCCAGAAAATGGCACGGTGACAAAAGTTGTGGCCACATCCTTCTCAAAGGCTAATTCAGAGGGAAATAAGATATATCCCTTTTCCCTGGCTTATTTCACCTTGGTCTTGGGGTTTGGTGTTAGGTATAGTGAGGGAAAGGGACCTTTCAGAAAAGCCCATTTTGAGGAAATAAAAGCATGGCCTGGATGAGGATCACTGTGGCTTTGTGGCGTAGGGTATCGCAGTGGGCCTGTATCCTTAAGTCAGGTGAGCATTCTTGACAAGGCTTTTCTGTTTTGGGTTGGAGAAGAGAAAGAAACACACCACTTACATGTCTTATTGACTGCTAAGATCCTTTATTTTTTTCTAGGCCCCTCCCTGCCCCCTACATGCGGGGGCAGCCCCAGCATTAGGGGGATGACATGATGAAGGGGTTTGAGGGTGGGGCCTGGCCATATCCACCGAGGGCCCTACCAGGGACGGGTGCTAGCCGCTCTTTCCCATGCAGCTGGAACGCTAGCAGGACCTTCCACAGCTCCCTGGAGGCCACCTCCGTATATTACTCCTGCTTGTCTCTGCTGCTCCGGGCCTTCTCTCCCTGTGTACCCTAGAGGTGTGAGGGCCACAGTCCTCCTCAGCTGAGCCTCCCTCCCCAGCCCAGGGCCCTAGCACAGGCTGCAGTTGGACGGCTTCAAGCTGCGGCTCTGGGCCTGGAGCAAGGAGAGGGGAAGGAGGGGAAGACAGGGTACAACGTCAAGGAAATGAGGGATTGGCCCTCATTTCAGAGCTCAGCTCAGCATGGGCTGGAGTCACACTGAAAACAAAAGGATACCCACCATTCCAAAGCTCTCCACCACTTATAAGAAACTCCAGCCCCAGAATCCCCACCCCCAACTTCTTACTGCCTCTCAGCACAGAACCCCATCTTTACGCCATCCTCATACCTGCTGCCGTTGGTATTCTGCCTCACTGGCTGACAGAGCTTGTGCTAAAGCTAGGTCCTCTTCCTCCTGAGAACTGGGGGTGGGGGGGATTGGATGGGAGGAAGAGGGGAACAGCTTAAGTCGGATGAGAGTAATATCTAAAATGTGACCATCTGGTCAGTGTGTATTAGGCATCACGATGCTGGGCATTATCTCAATCTTCATACCAACCCTGCAAGATGGGTATTACTATTGTCCCCATTTTACAGAGGAAATGAAGGCCCTATGGGTTAAAGAACTTGTCAAGTGTCATATAGTTCATCTTAATTTTTGAGCCCAAGTTGCCAATGATTATTTTGCATTGGGTCAGAGTAGTCCCACCTCCCTCCAAACTGAGCCCTTGCCCACAGCCTACCCTCTCTCTTTCACCAGAGAGTAGGTACCTTGGAACCTGGGGTTTGGTCTCTGCCAGGGACATTTCCAGAGCTCGTTGCAGAGCCTCATCCTCACTCTGCAAAGGGAAAAAGAAGAACAGTTTCCTTGGACTTTACTCTCTCTTGTGTTTGCTTCTGTCCATTCAACCTCTGCCCAACTCACCAGGCCATTCTGCAAAGCAATCACTGGAGGGGCTGTCCGGGGTGGAGATTGGGTTGTGGCTCTATGGCAGACATTTAAGAGGTTGAGGTCAGAGAGCTGAAGGGACAAAAGGGAGGAGAGGACAAACAGGCAGGCCTACCTGCTGGGAGAGGTGCAGGAAGGCGAGGTCCGACTTGGGCTGGGCATGGTGCTTGTAGAAACCAGACCTTGTGCTCTGGAGATGGCAGCAAGTCTGTAGGGGAGAGACACTCTTGGCATGCCTCCAACAACAAACTACCCTGGAAGTCGGGGTGAGGGAGGGGACAGAGTTCCTCCAAACAGTCTGGAAAAACATGCACTTGAAAAGGATGCCAAAAGACTCTCCTAGCCAGCAGGGATAGAGTTGAAGCTTCCCAACTTGTAATTATAGGGGCTGAGTCAGTTCCCAAAGGATAGGATGATCCCAAAGGCAAGTAGAGGACTCGGTGCAGTTACCCTGCCCGGCTGGTTGGGTGTCCCTCCCCGGAGCAATCATGGTCCAGTGGGTGACGGTGCTTGATGCAGAAGTTTCGGCCACAGCGTTCACAGGTCAGTTTCATCATTTCCCGCTGTCGGCAGCCAGAGCGCTCACACTTATTGGTGAAGATCTGAGATGAAGTGGGAAGATTTGTTTCTACCAAGACTCTGACTGCCTTTTCCAGCCCCATCATAGGAATTAGCTGTTTAGATTTCCTGGCATCCGTAGCCCCAGCTGGTTCACGGCTGACCCCTACAATGCTTACCTTACGTTTTTGCTGAGCTGGATCCGAGCGGCAGTCTCTGTCAATGTGCTCCCCCACAGCGCGGTCAGGGGGCTCCCCTCTGGCCACAGGCACAGGCACATTACAGAGGGGGCATACAGGTACCTGGATATCCTACAGTCAAGAGGTGAGGTTAGTCTGTAGCTCACTCCCAGTCCAACAAATCTCTGGTCCTGAAAGAACTTGGATACCCCACAAACATCCAAGAAAACAATGTTCCCCGGTACTGACTGAGCCTCAGAAAGACAATAACGGACAGGAAATGTGAGGCAGCCAGATTTTGGGGATTCTGCATGCATCCTCCTTCCGCCTGCTTCTACTCTCAGGACCCGCTTTTACTCTCAGGACCGCCCACTCACCTTTTGGTAAGCAGATCCACAGTGATGCTGGGCGTAGGCCACATGGTCTGCGCAGAAGATGCCAGAGCAGGCATCGCACTTGAGCGGCAGAAAATCTGCAGGGAGTTGGTCAAATTGCAGGTCCACCGGGACCTTTCACTCAGGGGAAGGAAAACAGCCCTGTCTGCAACACACTGTGTCCCTGCCCTAGTCCAGTATCTCCTTAGCCACGCCCCTCAGCCACCGCCCCCAACTTCGAGCCCCGCCCTTCTGTGGCATTTCCAGCCCCGGAGCCCCCTCCTCGCCCCACCTGCGGTTCCAAGTCCCTTTCCGCTCGGCCCCGCCCCCCGCGTGCTCCGCCCCTCACCCAAGCGCTGACAGCTCGGCTCCGAACAGTGAGCCCCGAGGTCCGGAAACTCCATCGCCAGACCGGGCGGGGCCTGCGGGGAGAAGAAGCGAGTGCTGAGCGTCTCCAGGGCTCCCGCTCTGGGTCCGGACCGCGACCCGGCACTCTGAGGGGCTCCCCGCCCCGCCCCTTCCTCTCCCCCGCCCAGCCCGGGTTACCGGAGCCGCAGCGCCAGCCGGGCCACGGCTCCCACTCCTCCCTCGGCGCGCGCGGGCGCGCTGACGTCATCACGCAGGGCGGGCGCGTCCCGCGCAGTCGCCGGGCAGCTGGAGGGGCCGTCCCGGCGGAGCCGAGCCCCGCCCTTCCCCGCTCGGGGCGGCGGGGAGCTGAATGGCTGTCCCGAGGCGAGTGGGTGGCCTTGCGCGGCTCCGCGATTCTGGGCGCGGACATAGCTCTACCAAGGGTCTCTCTGAGGCCTCGGGGATGAGCAAGAGGGTCAGTGAAAGCGAGGACGGATATCTTGGGGATGGAGGGCTGGAGTGGTTTGGGGTCTGTCACAGTTCCGTCCTTCTCACTCTACACCCTTCCCCTGGCCGTTTCTTTCATGGCCACCGCTGCACTTACTCTCCGCGAGCTGGCAACTCCTATATTTCTCCGCCATATAGATTTCTCTCCACTGCTGCAGATGCTTCCTCCAGATTTCAGCTTTGATGCCCTCCTCGGAGTGAGCTAGGCGCACCTGCTGCTATGTGAGCTCCCTGATTGTTTTAGCACTGTATCACCTCATTGTAATAAGCTGGGAATATGCTGGGACGTTAGGGACCACGTCTACTTTGTTCTGTGTTAGAGCCCAGCACCTAAGAGTGCCTAGAGCAGTGTTTCTCAGATTTGAATGTGAATCGGAATCACCTGCAGAGCTAGTTTAAAATGCAGATTCCTGGGCCCTGGAGCTTCTAATTCAGTAGGAAGCAACTGAAGAATTTCTGACACAGAATGCCCATGTTGCATACTTTGAAAAGCATTAATCTAAAATATTCCCAGTGCTTATGAAGTATTTCTTGAATGAAGCATGGAAGGCATTAGATTGATGTCTTCCTTTTTACTTTAAGGAGCTCCAGGTTGAGACCTTCCAGCTTCATCACGTTTTGCTTTTCACATGCCTTTGGCCCCTCATGAGTGGAGTTGGTTGCACTCTCATCGTCCTGTAATTCTGGGCATGGAACAAGTAAACAGGAGAAATAAACTCAGAGTTGATGAAATAAGCTCAGAGTTGAGCTTATTTCCTCCTTATTTCCTTTATCCTCAAATGGAGAGAGAAGCCAGGCTGCAATTGGAAATGAAGAGTCGGTCTTTCCCTCTCTCTCAATTTTCTCCTTTATCTCCAACTTTTGGCTTTGTTTCCCGGTGTCTGCCATTCCATCCTCACAATACTAAGGCCAGAGGAAATTAAAATTGTCTTTCCTGGTTCCTCAAGCAGAGCTCTAATCTCAACTCTGACTGTATCAAATTGCCTTGACTTGAGTCATCTGTCAAGCCCTGCACTATGTCCTCCCATGTGCCTGTCACACTTGTGTGTGAGTTGATTGAACTACAGTGGCTTTAGGAAAAGCCCTAAGACAGAAATTCCAAGGCTTGGCTTTGAGATAGATGCCATCAGGGCTCACAGGAGCTGTCCACTACAGCAGTAGCCAAAGTCAAAGATGGGCCCAGCAGATATGGCCACAGAGCATCAGGAGCATCTACTACATTTGGCCAATCAGATTGTTTCCTGGGAATTTGGAATTGAGGCCAAGAGAATCAGTGCTCATGATACAATTAGGCCTGTAACATAAAATTTCTGGGATGGCCACCTACCACATTGTCATACTGTCATACTGACCAAGGGACAGAAAAATAAATTATCTGCAGTACTCTGGACCAGGCATCCTCAAACTACAACCCATGGGCCACATGCGGATGTTTTTGCCCATTTGTTTTTTTACTTCAAAATAAGATATGTGCAGTGTGCATAGGAATTTGTTCATAGTTTTTTTTAAACTGTAGTTCGGCCCTCCAGTGGTCTGAGGAACAGTGAACTGGCCGCCTGTTTAAAAAGTTTAAGGACCCCTGCTCTGGACAGTGAACTCCATAAAAAGAGGTTGATCCTGTAGTTCACACTAACGGGTTTAAGTCATATCATTTTCTGAGTCTTTTGTCTCCTCCCAAAGCCTTCAACAGAACTATA